GACAACAGGATCTAGAACCAGTGACTTTAAGTTCGTGACATCTTACAATGACAACACACTGCCTGCTGACCAGACTCTGAGGAAAAGTCCAAGTGACTTTGCTGATCCGTTCGGAGATTGTGATGGTTCTGTAGAGGTAGGATAATTTTAATGTTGACACAATGCGTTGTGGTTTTAATTGTTCTGCTTCTTAATTAATTTGTTTCTCCGGCTACAGGAATCCTTCGCGTCCTAAATTCAGAAGTTCTTTGTGAATGCTAAGTGAATTTTTTTTTATTAATTTCGGAAATTTGTCTTTTGTTGACTGACTGCAATTTTTTTAGAATCACTAATTGTGTACATTTGCAACTGTTTATTTATTTATTTTCTTCCTTTACTACATTAACTGGCAACAGGTCTTTGCTGTCTCTTTAAGATTTTGTTTTTTTTTTATCTTTCCTTATGTCAAGAGGAATTTTGATGGATTTATTTTGGGGGCCTCATTTCAGAAAGACACACATTGGAAAAATATTTAGCTTATATTTGTAATTCAATTTTTAATGTTTACACAAAGCTTTTGTTGACTTTCTTGATTGGGACTCATTTGATATTAGTAAATAAAAATTACTTGTCTCAATTTAGTACCAGAGGAAAACCTGGGTCTCTTGGAGATTTAAAATTTGGGACGTTTTAACAGTATCGTGCAGTTATGAGTCAGGTAGAGATGTTTTAGTTAATAAAGCGATCAGCATGGCCTTCTCCCCTTTTCTTGTACATTTTTTATTAGTCTTTTTTTTCTTGAGTGTTTTTCAATCACCACTTACTTGGTTATGACTTAACGTCTAATGTCACTGAATGTTAGAAACACTGCAGTTCGCATTCATGATTCATCCTGGGTGTGTGAGTCAAGGTCATAGGTCGAAGTCAGGTTTTGTTTTGTGAAACACTCTTACTCACATTAGTGGAGTCTAAGAGCACTGGCCTCAAACAGTAGACAAACTTCATATGCAACACGTTGGTCTTTTAGTGACAGTGATCCTTCCAAATGTAAAGGCATCTGTCCATGGTACTGAAACACTCCTCATCCATAACTAGATTTGTTTATTTATTTTGCCATACGACTAAAATTGAATAGATACAGTAAATAATAATAATGCAGTCATTGGGGCCATTTTTTCCTGCAGAACAAGTACTTTTACTTTTGATACTTAAAGCACATTTTGGTGATAGCCTAATACTTATGTACGTTCATTTCAGTATGATTTTAAAGGCAGGACTTTTACCCGTAATGGAATATTTTTACATTGTGGAATTTGAACTTCTTTTTAAGGAAGATATGAGTATTTCTTCCACCACTGTCCATGGTGCTGAACCTTGAATCTCTGTTGTGATGTAGTCGAAATTCTTTATCTTGAACTTAAATGATAATTTAAGTTGTTTCCCTAGTAAGACATTGAGGACATGATGATATGTTCATATTCAATCGGATTTTATTCCCTTTTCCCGCATATTACCCATTGAATTGTAGCCTCTCTTTGTTTTGTTTTTTAGCTTGTTCACAGGTAAAATGGACGTGATTAAATATTACAATGATGTGATTTGAGACCTTCTTTTCCATAACACAATACTGTAAATATTTTAATTCAGCTCAGCTGTACTAGGGTGAACAACACCCACATCTCCAAAACGGAGCCAGTTACAATGAATACATCGTGTGTTTCTGTGTGTGTTTTAAGATTTACCGCTCATGCACAGTTCATTTAAACTTGAGTGAATATTATCTTAATGTGGTCCGAGACTTTGTGAAGAATATTTCGAAAAATTGTGAATATAAAAAAGACACTCATGGTGTCGCTGTTGCCTGACAGAAAATGAACACGCACTACTCCACCTACTACGACTAAATGTACATCAGTTGGATTTTTCCCAGAGAAACGATTACATCCACGAACGTGTGTTTGTGAAGACTAGCGCGTGTTGGATTATTCACTAATTTTTGATATATTTACTATTTCACTCTGGACAGTAAATTGTACAAGCTGAAGACGTCGTTTTGTGTCAGGATGGGAGACAAAGGATTTTCAGCGCTTCGTCCGATCCTCTGCTTCGCTTCCTTTATTGTAACGCTGCACCTCGTTAATGGAGACCTGAGTTATTCTATTCCAGAAGAAATGAAACGCGAGTCTGTTATCGGAAATATAGCCAAAGATCTCGGTCTTGATCTGAGAACCTTATCTTCACGAAAGGCCCGTGTTGATTTTGAGGGGACTCGTAAACGGTACTGTGACATTAATCTGAATACTGGAGATTTAATCACATCGGAGAGAATCGACAGAGAAAGCCTTTGTGGCAAGAAACCCTCCTGTGTTGTGAAAGTAGATCTGGTGTTAGAAAATCCTCTGGAGCTTCATCGACTAAGTCTTCATATTCAAGATGTAAACGACAACTCGCCGCAATTCAGGGAAAATTTGATTGAAATGGAAATAAGTGAGTCAGCTGAAAAGGGTAACCGCTTCTCTATCGAGGAGGCCCATGACGCAGAT